GTATCACCACCTCAGTGGCTTGTCTGTGCTTCTCACAGCCTTTCTTTGCACAAGAACTGGGTCTTTCCCATCTCCCAGCAATAACATCATCTTCCAGAAAAACCATCTGTCTTGTATGGAAGACAGGGGGAACAACAGCATCTGCTCTCTCAGGAATCTACCAGCAGCAGCAGAGTGTCACACTCGAGGCCCGCGCTGTAACTGCTCCCCATTTTCCAATTCATCAATCTTCAGCCAGTCATGTTAATTCAACATGCCCGGTCCCTTAATGAAAACAGCCACCCAAACATGTCTAGCTGTCAGCCAAGGGCGTGGGGGTACACCGGGGGTTGTGGGGGGCGAGTTCATGCCCCTCCCACCCCTTCCTAACCCACTATCATCGCTGCAGGGTGCTGATGCTATTAACCTTAAGAAGAATCTATGATGCTAATTGTATTCATTTGGCTGCAGCTTCCTGGTGGTCTCATAGATGTGAGACAGGAGTTTATAAATCTACACTGAGACAAAGACCCAGGATGCTCCTGTTATGACTTCATTAACATGTGCACCTGCATACTTCATTGGCAGTTGCTTATAAGGAGTGACCTTAACAACCTCTGGGGATAAAGATGCATTGTTTCCTTGTTGTGGCAGTGCCTGAAGCAACGCAGGGACTGATTGCAGCATAGCAGGCATTGTTACAAAAACACAAAGCATAAGCGACATTATGCAGCTGGAAAAAGCAGATGTGCAAACAGATTTTCTCACAGCTCTTTCCTCAGTGTATCGGGGACCACAAGCCGATACCAAAATCCCACTTGTTTGAGCTTTTTCCCAGATAGGCTTAACCCAATCTTAATTAGTCAATTAATCGATCACTTGGTAAACAGGAAGTGAATCCGCAAAAAGTTTTATTTGCTTTTCTCTATCTAATGTTTTTCAGTTTGGCATTTAAAGATATCACCTTTGGTTTTCGGAACTTGTGGTGGGCATGTTTCTCTTTTTCTCACTTTTTGACATTTCATAGAATAAATGAGGAATAAACAAATATGATAGAGCAGAAACAGTTAACTGACTAGTCATTCAACAGAAAATTTTAATTAAAATGGAACTACTTTGATTCTCGATTAATCGTTAAAGCCGGTGGTTCCCAGTCCCTTTCCTTAAGGGACCTCTTTTCTATCATTGCGTAAACTGGATGCATATTTCATTCAATACAACAAGCAATTTGGAGGAATTTTTAGAAGATTATTTCCTGTGAATATTCCATCAGAGATGAGTTTTCCTGATATTCTTAGTACAATTCTCTGTCTGTATTATTTATTTTTTTCATTTTTAATAATCAATACAGTTAATATGCTTCTTCTTTGACAAATTATGTGTTTTCTTCTTGCTGACACTTGGCCATTGTTCGATTGTGCATACTTTTCTAATGCAGGAGGAGGCTTCTTAGAGAGTGAAGGCTCTGTGAATATAGCTTGTGTTCAGGTCTCCAAAATTTAGATTTTAAATAATAATCTGAACTTTAAAAGTAACAATTTCATTCAGTTTTTCTTCATAGAAATTAACAAAACACTGATATATAGGCCTACTGTGTATATTTTTCTAATTTTCTTACACCTCTTGAAATCAAGAAGGCCTTGCAACCCCCTGCGTAGCTTTGGCGACCCCTAGTGGGGGTCCCGCCCCCTAGGTTGGTAACCACTGGTTAAAGTCTTTGTTATAGCAAAAACACTCAAATGTGAGGAATTGTAATTTTTCTCTGTTTTATATAATTGTAAACTTTAGATTTTCAACTGCTGGTTGGATAAAAGAAGCAATTTGAAGGTGTCAGCATGGGCATTAGAATATTGTACAGACCAAACCATTGATGAGTTTATCAAGAAAATCATAGCGATAGGTGATGATGAAAATAACCGCTCTTAGCCCAAAGAGCAACTCATTTAGTTAAGGCATCAAACATCTGTTGCGCTTGATAGCTGAGTGACCAGCTCCTGAAATACGTGGGCTTGAAATACCCATTCCACAGTCAAACATAAGTAGTAAAACTAATACTAATACTAATATCAATATGTTGCTGTTAAAAAATGATATAGGTGACAGTATATAGCTCACAGTAAGCCATCAGAAACACAATATATACACAAGAGGTTTCCTTCCATGATTTAGAAAGAGAGGAGACTCAATCAAAACGCCACTTTAAAGAAAACAAATTCTGTTCACCATAAAAAGTTACAATCTATAAAAAAGTAATGGAGTCTGAAAGCTATAACATTGTCACAGTGTCAATCTCACCTGAGTGAAATGAAAGGGAGTTCACATCGACTCTAATCCCCAAACAGCACTGGAAGCAATGTTATGCATCTCCCTTGTCTCCAAAATAATGTCATCACTTAAGGCGACAGTGTGGGCAGAATGAGAATGTACATAAACCCCACTATAAGCTCCATCACCTGACTCGTGTCTAATGGACCGGGGATAAATTGGAGAGCGGGAGAGTGACGATGACACTGCATCTGCCGTGAGTAATGTGCTCAGTGCTGCCTCTGCACCTGGAGACTGAAGTCATGTCTTGTGATGTCTCTTGGGGAAGGCGGAGTGATGGTGGTGCCAACACACAATACCTGCCATGACATGCCACAGCATAACATGGTATTTGTTTCATTTTCAATTATCTAAGCACTTTACTAAACCAGATCTTCAACTGTTTTTATCTGATAGAGTATTTAAAGGTTAGGATAATAGGCCTTGCTCACCTAAGACATTTTGACTTGTTACTGCAGAAAAAGCTCAGGTGTCACTAATAACACCAGCTCCGCTCTATTCAAGTAAATGGATTTCAGCTGTCATTTAAATCCACTACACTTGTGCTTTTCCTCCCTTGATATATCCAAAGGTCTGTTCTATTGTGGAGTTTCACTGTTGCAGAGCGCCACTATTAAATGACTGCTGAGTAAATATTACTGAATCGTTTGCAGTCAAGGTTCAGGTATCAGGAGGTTCTGATATTTGCCTAAGTTATCTGAGTGGTTTGATTCACAGAAGATCACAACACGAAAGTGTCTCTGCTCTCGCCGTGTTCCCGAATACGAGAATACAGTATGAAATGCTGACTGGAACTTTCCGAAATGTAGGTTAACAGGCTGATATTAGCATTCTAGTGCAGCAACAGAGGGCTTCCAATTCACTGCGACTGCATTTACCGACTGTAGCTGCAGAGTGGTTCTATGTTGTTTACATACATATATATATATATATATATATATATAAAAATATAGAAGATGAGTGAACACTTAATAATATAAGGACATGTTTGCATGAAGTATGAGAGTCAAAGTGAACATGTCATACTGCATCACACGCAGATACTGACTGCTAATATTAACACCACATGAAATAACTCCACACTGTCAGGTTGTGGGATTCTTATTAGCATCAATTCTTTCTACTCATAGATGTTTATGTAGTCAGGTGTGGTCACATACACTGTATACTGCAAACAGCAGTACCAAGCATCTGTTATACATCATCAAACAAACACATCCTTAAAACACACCGACATGTGGCCCCCAGTGGGAATTAAACCACTACATAAGACAAGTAAGACACCAATGGAGGACATTTGTGGGACTGGTGACTGCCTATATTCCCTCTCTCTCTCTCTCACACACACACACACACACACACACACACACACACACACACACACACACACACACACACACACACAAAGACAGCCCACCACCATGTCTACTCTGTATCACATTCATATCAGCATGCATACAGCTTACAGAAAACTGTATCTTGACATGGGCTGCATCAGTCAATCATCATTTTGTCTATAAAATGTATGAAAATAGTAAAACTGTCCATGTTACTATCATACATGACAAGCGAAAAAAGAAGCTAAACCCAGAGAATATGTTGCACTTTTGCTTGAAAACTCAAATTATTATTTTATCATCAAATTTGTAGTTTTTATTTTTTTTATTTTACTGATTGATTAATCAATTAATTAAATGTAATTTCAGCACTAGTATTGACTTAAAAATGCTTATGGTTAGATTCATGATTCCTTTACGAATGGGGTTTGAATTAATCCAAAAAGGTGAATCAACTTCTTTGATTGACTGTTACCAATCCGATGTCAGCTCCAGCTGCCAAGTATGTTGTCTACTGCTTTCATGGCTGTTTCTGTGCTTGCATTTGGAGACCTCTATGAAAAACAGCGCACTGATGAGAGGTAAAGATTTTTTTTTTGAGGGGGAAAACCCCACAAAAATCACACATTTCCTTTGTGGAACCCTCTCATTTATTTAATGAAAGAATCAGCCCCCCCCCGATCAATAGACACCTGCTGACTATTAGGCTATATCATATCTCTGCATCTAATATCTACACAAAAAACAAGGCCTTAGTGGGTTTGCCGCCTGCCTTTAAGTCTATAAACACTTGAATTGACAGCTACATCTGGCAGCATGAGCATCACTGGCAGACATCAAATAATCCTCTGAGCGGTTGCGGGGCCTGCCTGCCTGCCTGCCTGCCTGCCTGCCCGCACCGGTCGGCGGCAGCAACAATGAGCTGCTGCAACCAACCGCTGAATCCATGCATCCAACACAACAGCCCGATCAACACATTGCCTTTCCCTCCCCTCTCGTTGCTTTTGATGGTTGCTCCTCAGGATGCAGCGCATGCAGTGCGGTCGGGGAGTGAGTGCACAGGCTGCAGCGGTCTGTCTGTCTGCCTTTGAGCAGAATCCACATTTTTTAAAAGAAAAACACGACAATCGGCGCCTCCATATTGCTGGATTATTTGCACCTGGTCATCCTAGTCAGGCAGCATCACCGGGACGCTGTGGCGATTGAAAGAGGCACCGACTTGACACGTCCACTGCACCATTATTTTCATGATGATACAGAAGACAACGGGGCGGGTGGTGGAAAGGGAGAAAATGCAATCCCCCCAACCCCCCCATCATCTTCAAAAGAGAAGAGAAAAGGAGAAATGATCTAACTCACCGTCTTCTGCAAACCGGCTCCTGTTTCCTTCCTCCCTCTGCGAGTGAGTGTGTGTTGATGCTGGAGAAAAATGATGAGGCGTGTGTTTGACGGACCGTGCCCGGCCGGTGTGTGTCCGTCCCCCCTCTCTCTCTCAGCCGCTGCAGCAGCTATCTGTGGTCCACACACACACACACACACACACACACACACACACACACACACACACACACACACACACACGGATCCTCCACTCTCCTCACCAGCTCCCCCGCCGCTGTCAAAACCAGCAGCGACAAAGATCGTCTACACTTTCCAGAAGACGGCTCACTCACGGGCGAAAAAGCCAGACCCAAATATCCAGACCGAGTGGGCGTCACATAGAGATTGGACATTGTTACAGCTGAATTACATGTGCTGTATTTGGTGGAAATAGAGCTGTAAATGCATATTTAGGCCTATACATTCACTCTTATGTATATATATATATTTTTTTTTCTTGCAGGGATATCCCATGCCTCACATTCCAGTATTATTATAAAATAGATGAATAAATGCTTCTTTTTTTATATAGCTCAGTCATTCTGCTGTAGATCTAAATTAGTAGTAGTTTAATATGGCTGGTAAACACACTGCTATCATTAAGAATTGGGCTGTTTATCATACAAAGCTGTTGGAAGTTGGAGGACTCACTGATTGTCTAAAAAAAGATCCAGTCTCTATGTTGTGTTACATGGGGGACTTCAATCTCCATAACAATGTTACTTCTGGTAGATAGAAGATATGTATCGGAGTGAGACCTCTTTATTTTCCTTCTGCTATCAGTGAGTCGCTGCCAATTTTGCAGGAAGAAAGAGAAAGACGCAACTGCAGCGACCCCGTTTTAATGAGCGGCAGCAGTGGGAGCTGCACACAGATATGTGTGAAATGAACAATAACCCAGCAGAGTATCTAATGAAATCTCTCCATATTCCTAACTGTAGCCTTGTACGTCTGTGGTAATCTCACAGTCGCAGTAGTTTCTTTTCTAATTTAATTTCATACCTTACTTCCAATATTTAGAATTTGATAAGAGTTTAGAATGTCATAAATGAGCAATTCAATCACACTCTTCCAGGATCTTGATGAACTGTTATACATTTGGGTCAGTACTTCATGCAGATGATATATGAAAGGCTATATAACGACAAATGCTGTCATACTTTAATGATCCACTTTTCTGGGGCACCCTGGTGGCTTATGGGTTTGTGCTGCTGGCTGTGAGCTGCAGTGTAAGTACATTTTTTGTACTTTTAGTTACTTTTCTGATTGAATTACTCATACCCTCCCTGTTCAGTGAAAACCATCAATCTCCAAATTTAGTGAAAGTTTGGAAACTCATTGTCACAAAGCTGAAGACGGGGCTGTTTTTCTCATGAAAACCTTTTTAAAGATACGTTGTTCTCACAGGACAGTGACACTATAAACATGATGACAGAATATGATGCACAGATTAAAGTATCCAACAGTATGTAAAGTAGTTCAAAGCAGCTCAGCCATAGCCATTAATGCAGCAGTAACATTAATCCAAAAACATCATATATGATACTAAAACACTGACAGGGACCATTTTTCTGCACACTGAGTACTAAGTGTGGCTGATCTGAATACTTCTTCCACCAATGCAATGTTTCATGTTGTTCCCCAGCTCTCTCTCTCCCCATTTTCTGTCATCCTTTTACTGTCAGCTCTACAATAAAGGCTTAAAGTGCCCCAAAAATACTTTTTAAAAAGGCCCCGGTCCTCTGAATATGAGACACAGGTGTTACAGAGGACAGGTGGCCCATGTCAGACATAGACATGGCAGAGCTGGTGTCAAACGCCCCACTGCACATTACATTATCATTACTGGCCCACCAATCCACATCAGGTTTTGAACTGCAGAACGCACATGACAGCTGTGTATGAACACCCCTCACCCACGCTACTCAGTTCCAATGTGGGACAGCCCGAGCATGTCTTACACACATCAAGACCATGTCATCAGGACCATTAATGTCCACATTGCTCATCTACCAGTCAAATGAGTGATGAAAAGAATGTATTAAATAAACCTTTTCATCGTCTTTTACTGCCATGGCTTATTCATATGTAACCCACCGTGAGGCATGTTCAGGTCATGAGCATTGTGTGAAAAAAAGGGGGTGTACATGTATAGTTTTTTCCCATGATAAACACATGTAACACTCATCCAAGGCTAAAGGGCATTAGCATTCATAAGTGAGTCATGTAGCGTCGCTACTAGTAATGGGACCAAAACAAAGCGGAGTTTTAGCAATGGAGCTCGCAAAACATGATTGGATACGAGATAAAACTGTGTTGGTTGTTATGCTCCAGCTCAACGATTTAAATGCATAATTGCTTTCCATGGGTGTGACTTGGAAAACATGATATGATCTTTTTCAAATATCTTAATATTGACCTAGAACACCAGGTTTTCATTGCACACTGTTGCTTGGTATTCATGCACAGCTATTGGACAAATAGGATGTGTGTGTGTGTGTGTGTGTGTTTTGTGTGCGCAGGTGTGTCCTCACACTAACTGACTGGCAAAGATCTGCGGAGAGCCACAGCACTGTGTCAACTATTCTGCCGTTTTCTTTTCAATGAGGAGACATGATGACAGACTGATGTTTTTTTGTTTTTTTTTCTTTCCTCCCCAGCGTCACGTTACAGACATACTGCTGTGGAGTGTGAAATATTCCCAGGTCCTTTCAACATATTTTCATTTCTGAAACTGTATGTCTACTGTCTCTCTCTCTCTTTCTCTCTCTTCCTTAACTCCATAATGCATTACGAAAAACAAAAAATGAGCTGAAGCTAATTGTTCTTTTTCGTTCCTACAGTCGGGCGTTTGAGCTTCGCTGTGCAGAATGTATGTGCAGAGTTCGACACTCGACACATCTGCTGAAAGTGGAAAGTTTCTCTGTGCTCATTGAAAAACAGATTTTAAGGGGCAGGGCCTATTAGCGTGATCTATAACATCACAAATAGTCTGGAAGTCAACCCTGGTCCAGTATGTGACTTATATAAGTGTGATGTTGACACTTGAAGCTTCCAGTGCACATAGCAGTAGAGGCCTTTTTAAAGATTTGAATGTGGTGATTATAGTTTGTTTTGCAGACAAAAAACCCAGATCAGATACACGTCATTGTTCATTTATGTCTTAATACATGTCTGGAGGGGATCTTTCATCATTTGTGCTAAAAAATAATCTGCAAGACAAAACATTCAACTTGTCTCAGTATCGTTTTACATTTGTATGATCAAACCGTCTCTGGGCCTATGTGTACTTTAAAACCAGTTTATACAGGCCAAGATATATTATAGAACAACAACGTCACATTTGACAGCTACCAGATACGTGCTTTCCATACTGTTTCCATATCTTTTACACAACAGCCTTCCTAACTTGGTCAGAGAGTGTCATCACTGACAATGGCGTGACGCAGCTTCGTGCACTGATAAACAGCAGCTTCTTCACACTATATATCCTGAGATGACCAGGTTATATTACGGGAAGAATACGTAGAAGTGACTATATATGAATTTTCAAGCCCTTTGGGTGATTTTGTCCTCTTCGGATGACAGATGGGATGCAATCCTTCTTCCTCATTCCTACTCCAGCCCGAGCTTCACACCCACTTCTAACCCCTCAGGGATGTATTTGTTAGTTTATTTGCATCACTTGATCTACAGCAAACTCATAGATTATGATCACATGCGTCACTGTTTTTATATATTTGCAGCTACGGCCGCATTGGGCGAGCCATGACAAAAACAAGGTGAGACAACTTGTACAAACTTCTCCTCACATGCTGCACTGCTGTTTGTATAAGAATATGGCACATCCTGGCAGACGGCAAATAAACACTATGTGCCAACTGCCAACTGAAGGAGGAGGGGGAGGAAAAAGAGCACGGCCCGAGATATTATGGCAAACTTAAATGTGATCACTTTTTCTTTTGCTATTTTAACAGTCAAACGCCCATTTCCAGCAGCAAAATAAAAGAGGTGGATTGTGTAACACATTTCTGCCAGATCAGGGACAATTTTAGGCAAACGTGGGCACACATACATTGAGAAGATTGTAAATGAGAGGGGAACTATAACGGTTGCTAGGGAACACCATAAGACCAGACAATCCAATTCTGCTTGAGGAGGAGGAGGAGGAGGAGGAGGAGGAAGAAAGACGGACCGCTACTGACACAACAAGAAACTAATAGAGCAGCGGTATGATATATGTATATATGTATATATATATATATATATATGTGTATGTGTGTGTGTGTGTGTGTGTATCCCACTCCTTCATGTAAACACAGCCTGGCAGACTTCACTTTACCTTGGCACTTTGGCCCTTTCCGACTCAAGGAAATTGCCAACAGGATGAACATCACCGGAGAGAGTTAATCTCATGTTCACCTCATTCGTCTGTCTTGACGGTGCTCGTCAGAGACACTCAGTCTCCACACGCAGCTGGATGGGAGGCTTAAATAATGTTTTGCGCTGTGTGACAGTGGAATTTCACAGCAACAATTACACCTCAGTATTAAACGTTTTCAGATCAGCAGAGGTACATTGCTCTCTATATACCATGCTACTACAAAGCTGAGTGCAGCTCCGTTACTGGCTCTTTATCTTTAAATGGTCTGTTACTTACTTCTTGGGGTATCTAGTCAATTTCAACTTCATTATAGAATAACCCACCTTCTTATGCCAAAACTATCTAGGTGAAGGGTTGAAAAATAAATTTTGTCAACCAAATTGGCTTTTTTTAAAAAAAACTTGTGTACCTAAATAACGCAATGTACCCTGACTTTTTAGGGATATCAATTTCCTTTCTTGTGGACTTTGATTGCTGTGCATCGGGAACACATGCTTTGAAGTCCTCACAATTTCCACCTAAACTAAAATGTACATTAATCCAACATCCTATCAGCCCCCCATGAGGTCCTTAGTAAACATAGATTACCATGTATAAATTTGTCTTAGAAACACATATTCTGCCATATTGACAGCTGTCAACATACACACAGGATAGTCTCAGTTTTTACCCACTGAAAAGATCCTTCTAGAGTAAGGCCAAGTGTAGGTGCACACAGACATGGTGAAGCTGGTATTTAAAAAAAAAAAAAAGGACCATCAATCTATCAGTCGAAGCCTGTTACAACTTTGACAGTTTGAAACCAGGAGTGAGGCCTCAGTCAAGTGAAATACTTGACACATTATTCTATACCTTTCTGACATCTGTCATTGTTGTGGAGGTTTGGAGGTAAACCTCCTCGTGGCGTATTGTTCACGTTGATTGGGGTAACGTCAGTTTGACTGGGAGGAATGGTGCTGTGGAATTTCAGTGAATCTTCAATGGGATCAAAACAATAAAAGCAGAAAATCAATGTGTGCAATTGGAAAAAAAAAACAATTCATCATAGGAAGACGCATGGCATTCCTTTGTGACAACTCTATTGTGGGGCTCTTTGTGATGTGTGTGTGGCAGCAGAATGGACAAGCAGATAAACATGAGTAACATCAAACAACACATGTGGCATATATTCCCATTCTCAGACATTAAAAGAAATAGTAGATCGCTCAAAAGAGAACCAAATTTATTTTACAGGTTTTATTTTTTCATAACATGTTTTTTTAGCATTCCACAAAGCAATGGGGGGGGGCAATTAGGAGTCTGACAAAGTAAAAAGTGTGTCAAATCTATAAAGTGTGCGACAACAACGGCCACGGCTGAGGATTTCAGGCTTGAGTGAGGTTAAAGGCAAAAGATTCATACTGAATACTGGGCCACAATGGAGAACATGCTTTGTTACCAACAGGAAAACACACATTCTGATACTTTCTTATTAGTATCAGAAGGGATGTCAGGGTGGCTGTATGTGCCAATACAGGACAGTAAAATTATGCATCAGCAGTATGTCTTTTGTCATATTTTTAAATTCTAGCAAGAGCACTCAAATAACTCAGAATTACTTCAAATACTATTTACATTGTCTTGGTTAAGAATGACATTTTACAAAGTGCATGAGGTCTTTCTTCTGTACAGTGTTAGAAATAGGCAGTCAAGTTTATATTCCCATTGTGCAATCACATATTAATTTTAATATATTCAAGTTACTGACAATGCAAAAGAACAGTCTAATTTCTTTACAAAATAACTAGTTATTATATAACCATTAATGTTCCATAATATGGTGCCACATTACTGTTTTTGTGCATTCATCCAACCAACTCTTTTAGCCAGCTTATAATTCATATATTTATGAACTTCAGTACACATACAGTATTTCCTTTGTCTGAGTCTAGTGAATGATTTCATCATCGTCAAAACAAAAAGTATTATTCTGTCTCCATCATAGACTCATTCTGTCCTACAAAGAACAAATTACATCACATTTGTAATTCTACACTATTATTTACTGTATTGTCTTTTTTAATAAATAATCATAGTTTTACATTTCAGTCCTTTTAGTGTTAGGTAAATAATCAAACCAAGTGACTGGATTATTTGTTTTTTTACTCTGAATTGACTCTCTGGATGCTTAAAAAAAAGTGTCCAGTTTGTTCCCTTTCCCTTTTCAACAGTTAAGCTATCAGTTCTTGAGAGTTTTTACACTCCGTGTCCTCTTACCTTAAACTCTCTCTCGTCGTCACACTATTGCCAGACCAGTGACTACAGCTTGGAGACGAAGGGGAGACCCTCGTACATGTCGGCTTTGAGCTTGCCCCACTCAGCCAGTCTCTGGATGGTGCTCTTCTCCTGGCCCAGCACGCTGGCCGCCTTTCTCAGCTTGGCCTCGTTGCGCTCCAAGTAGCGTTCCCCCTCGCTCTTGAGGAAGTTCAGCTTCTCCATGCGGTTCTCGTTTAGCGGGATGTCCTCGCTAATGTAGGGGTTGAAGCGGAAGTAGGTGTCGGGGGGCAGGAGAGCATCCAGCATGGTGTGAACCTCTGAAATAAAGATGGAGGCCGGAGCCATTAGCTATTAGTTGGATAGTAGTTAGTCACAGGAAATTTTGTAAAACAAGACTGGCTGTGACCACATACCTCTAATTTGGGGCTTATAAATAACTGTGTGGGACGTCAAACACATACAAGCAACATTTTGTGTGGTCTTACCCTCTGTATCGGTGGCACTGCTGATGACGTTGGTGAGTTTGGCCTTGAGGCTCGTGTAGGTCGTGCTGTTCTTGCCCGCCGTCTCGTACCGCCCAGTGCCGAGAGACAACACGCACTGCAGTGGCGTGTTAGGCCACAGACTTTTACACTCGTGGATGGCCAATGCTGTGGGGTTGTTGATTAGGAGTCCTCCATCCTGAAGAAGGAGACAGGTGGGAAGGGAAAAGGGATAAAGGGAAAGAGAACCATGAATAAAATGAAAAAAGACGGCCAATTACCCTAAAGTAACCCAACTGTAAGGAAGTCAATGATGTGTGTGTGAGAGTGTGACTGTTTTAAAGTTAATACTGCATCTACAAGACAAGAACCAAGTCAGATCAAATTAAAATCTGTCAGCCAGATTTCTGTGTAAGAAGCATGTTTATGTCATATTGCCAGAGCAGCATTTGCCTTTTAAACCAACAGGCACAAAACTGTAAAGTCACCTTCAGCATTTCATCAGTCAAATATGCTTACTACCCAAGGTTACTGCACAAATAGGACACTTTGTATGTATACAATGTGCCTCTAGGTTTAATATATTTGTTGTGACAGCCTGTAGGGGACAAATGAGGTGAAGTGAACAAGCTGTCCCAGAGCTACACAGCTTTAGGCTGGAGGAAAAGAAGCTCCCTGGCCAGAGATGTGCTGCGCTGGCAAACAACCCTGTTTATTCAGAAGTAAACAAGTAGGAAAAGCTGTCTTTTCAGCAGCTATCCGCAGCTAAAAGAAGTCATTTTCTTGAGTAATTTAGTCTGGAATTTAGCTATATAAAGAGTTTAATTGCTGCATTACTCTGAATTGATACAGCATATTGTATTTCAGTATTCTAATCTTGACTGAATTCATTTAGAAGCTAATCACAAATGATGTGCTTGCTTTTTAGTCTCTTTTTCACAACATAATGTTACTGGATTCATGAAAGAGTTGCTGATCTAAATGAAGCCAACAATGAGAGAAAGAGGACAATCAAGCTGAATGGATGCCTGGACCGATTTAGCGCTAAACACTCAGTCTTTCCCCAAGTCCAGTTTTGGACTCTATCCAGCCACTGAAGTGATTATGGCTTGGATTAATAGAGGAGAGTGTGGCACACAAGAGGTCCGGTCCTCCCCAGCAGAGCAGGAGTAAAGGTCATTTCCATGCTTCTAAAGGGGGTGGGTGGTGGAAAAGTATCCAAAAAGCTTAAATCCTCTCCTTCTTCTAGGATAAAGCAATCAGAAAATGGCAGTCAACGACAACCAATGCAAAAACAAACAAACAAGTTGTAAGTACCTAGAATTAAACCTTTTTTTCTTCGCCTAACTAATTTAAAAAATAGACAGCTTTAATGTCCTTGGATTTTGATTTAAATAACTCTCAATCAATCACTCGGCTGCCCTGGTATCATTATGGGACAATACTGCCTAAAACATATCACTCTTAGACTAATAATAAAGCTGTTTATCCTCAACTGTAAGCTATTGAAACAGTGGAACACAGTTCACACTCTTGAGACAGCAGGTTAATTATGCAGCTGCTCCTCAGATCTGACCCTTCACCTCTCACCCCGAGGTCTCACCCAACTGAATGACATCCAGCCTGCGTGTAATCACAACAAAAAGCTGCTAAAGTGCAGCATCATCACACAGGCAAACAACTGGATATTGCTTTAATAAAAAAAGAAAAATAAAATAAAAACTTAGGATGAAATATCTAGATTTGTCAATCTATTTTGAGTCTGTGAATGCATCCATCGCCACTGTGTATATATCTGTGTGTATTTATGTATTTCTGGTGCTCTGCAATGGCAGAATTTTCCTGAGAAATATCACCTCTAGTGCTGAAAACTAGAGTAGGAGTGAGACCGGTGGGTGGAAGCGGTAGCTCAACTGTCGATGAAACACTATGCAGCTCCAAGAGGAATGTAGAGAACAACACGAGCGCACATACATACACCACTCATTCACTCTCCATCTTTCCATCCCTGCTGTCATCCCAAAGTCCATGGGAAAACAAACAGATACTTGGAAATAAATGGAAATTCTGCAT